ATTATCCGAGGTAATTAAGAAATTAATAAAACTAATTCGTACTTTCAACTAAGGTTATAAAAATATGGAAATGAAAGCGTTAACGCATCTGGAGTGTTTAAATAAAATATTCAGAGGACCCGGTGTAGTAGTTTAGTAAAACAAATGTGTCGGTTTGTAAGGGAGGGTGAACCTCATGAATGTTAAGCAAACAGATAATATGAACGGCTTAACCTCCCCTATTTGATACTCGATTGTGACGATTGTCCACAATTGATGTTATTACTGGTCTATAAGTGTTGGTATTAGCTTATAGACAGCGTAAACATTGTGATTGTTAAGTTCTTTTGGAAAGACAAAGATGTTACGAAATTCAGGTTCAAATCATTCGAATTTGTGTCCGATTTCATAGACTATAGATATATAGGGCATTCCTTGTTTTTTTTATTGCCATAGACCACTAATACAATAGAATTATCGGTGGATATTCTCGACCAAATTGAACATTTTTAAATCGAACAAATAGGATTACTATTTTTCATTAACGTTTATAGTATAGTTATAGCAATCATAGTATATCTGTGACCCTTAATAATATATATGAAAGAAAAAACTGCCCAGTAAGTTTTATATTGATCAAAAAACATGAATGTAAAAAAAGTTATGAAGTTCTTCTGAACTACTTTGAATACGTGTAGACACCACGATCATATTGTGTCTAATTAATTGGATTGCGGACAAAAACCCTTTATATTACCATAACCTCAGTTTAAATTGCTTTCAAAGCATTAATGTCAATACCTGGGATGCACGGTTGCACGTGGCAGCGACAGCTGTGCCGATATGATCTTGTTGGAGACATCGCAATACGTCGATAAATACATAAGCTTTGTGGGTGGTTGAACTTGTCACTGCCGTATTGCAATTTGTTAAATGTTAATAAACAAAAATAAAACAAGCAATGTTTATGAAAACATTTCATGGAACATTATTTAAAGCTATTCGATTTTTTTAACATTTATTAATATAAAATATACATATTTTTAATGGCGGCGGTATTTTTTTTAAATTAAGAATATTCGTTCGATTATCGAGAGTATCATTCGAAATTTTATTCCATTGGTGATTAAATAAAAAAAAAATAGTGAGTTTTGGCGCGAAATAAAAAAATGTGAACTTTATTCTTTTTTTTATTTCTGTGATTGCTTGCAAAGAATATTCTAGATAGATATTGTAATTTAATTACTTAATTGTGCGTGTTGTGAAATCATTAAACGCTGAGTATCTACAACTAAGACTATAAATTGGTAAGTAAGCAGCATTTAATTATTTAATTAAGTTGGACTTACGACATGACATGTCTTTATCGTGTAGCTTTGAATCAAAAAGTTATCAGGGTTAGGTTGAAAATAGTTGCTAAGCTTGTTGTAAAAAGACAAGTAATGAGTATTAGTATACAGTGTGCAGTGTATTGAACTAGGATGTAGTAGAAGAGTCTAGATTTAGTTTGTAGCCTGGGAACGCAGCTGCGGTGACACCTGCTCGCGACTTCTAATGCCGCACACGCAGAATCTCAATCGCATTAGAATTGAAAAGCAATAAATATCGAGTTTTTCTTATAAAAGTGACAGTGTCTGTTTAAAGATGATTTTTTAATGTTTTTTATTTGATTTTTGAGTGCCTATGTAGGGAAACAGAACGTGCATGCAATAGATTTTGTAATATCATGTTTCTTCGATTCATCAGTTTTCAAGGGTATATTATTGCAATGCAACTACAATCGACATATATGTAGCCAATAACTTTTATACCTAATTAATTTTGAGTCCTTGTAGGCAGTTTCAGTAAAGGATAACGTCCAGTTTAGTTTCTAAAACGTTGCAAATCTCTGGGAAATCAAAAATTAAAACATCACAATATAAATCAACCAGAGACAACAAACAGATAAATAAAGGCCGGTCCATTGTTTTTTTTTCCACAGATTAAATTATAAAAGCGTTTTTAATTGCTAGGGATTATGAGAACTTTCATATTAATTACCCTCTAAATGAGCTTAACGTTTCGTCGCTACAACGTTTGTTTTAAAAAAAGGGTTGAATGCACTTGAGGGCTATTGTTTTTCGCCTATAAATCTAATGTATTGTAATCATACAGTTTAATGTGTGACAGTCGCTTTGTCGTATGTAAATGTCCGGGGAGGATTGCTGGAGTGGGGTGGGAACGAAACAGGAGCTACAATATTGGTGCGCGACGGGACGCCACTTCAAGCCGAGGACAGGGGAAGTATGGGCTATGTTTATTATGCATGATTTTTAACATTTATCTACTCTAAAAAATTGATGAGTAAAAATTGCGAGTTTTATGGACATGGCGATATTTTGTTTGTAATTCATTTTTTTATTTTGATGTTTTTCTTACTTATTGACTAATTTACTATTTAATTTGCACACGATATAAGTACTATAATGTTTTTGGTAACGTCTAATAAAAATCGAGACGTTTAGTTGAATTACATTCAGCCATCTTTCTAGTCACCTACCCACATGTATCACACACTCGGATACTTGGTATTTAGTAAAAGAACAATTGCCTAATGGGTAATCTTCAACATTTCAATTGTTTCTTATAATACCAGTACAATTGAACATCTAAATCATACGGCGATCGTTTACAAACCAAATAAAACAATGAATTAAATAAGCCCCTAGTTTTATAAACTCTTCAGTACCAAAATAATGCTGTAGACGTATTTCTATAACTTGTGAGCAATTGTGGGTATTGTGAGCATTGTGTCGAGTATAAAGCGAAAGTAGCCACTCCAGTATGAGAAACTGTTGCATTGCTAACTATCGCGTGTGGGAATGTGGGTACTAATGTTATTAGTAACCGATTATTTTAAAGATGTTCTTGTATTTTGTTATTGTTATGCGTTATGTTAAAACAACGCATATTAGTGAGGTTACTCGAGGCTCAATCGTTCTGTCATCCCTAATTCCTCCAACGCCGGTAATGCACTTGTATCATCTCTGTTGTTACGGGTGCGGATTTCTGGTCTTACCGCCTGTTGATTTGCCTATGCCTTTGCCTGTCCTATTCATTTAAAAAGTCTACGGAAACGACCTACCTTCTATACCATTATTAGAAATTAATGCCTAAAACGCTGAATGTTTAAACCGAAGAGCCCATAACAATAAAACGTTCATGTACACCATATAAATTTCTTTCCATCGCGATAAGATCATCAGCTATTATAAAACAGCTTCCGATCATGAGATCCCAATATACAAATCGGCATTCAATAACAATGTATTAAAATAGCGTTTGAGCAGTCAATTAGGCGGCAACGTATCGTGCGTGGAGATACCGCGATGGTGGTCCATTGTGGGCAGGCGCCCCGTGGCTCCTAGCGTCGGCCACTCGTGCCCATACAATGCAACAACACTGTTACCTATTTTTATAACTGCTGCATTTCTGCCGCTCCGATGACCGCACTAGAGGTCGCGTTTGTGGGAAGTTTGTAATAGTCGAAAGACATACTGTTGGATATTTGTGCACTTCAATCTGAGTATTTTTTGATTTAAGTCTATATAAAAACTCGGAAAACTTACTAGGTAGGTACCTAGTGAGTTTGATCCAGGTAAAATATATGGATGTCGATATAGGAATTCAATATACCACTATTCCCTAAAATAATTTATTTGCCCATTACATTAATATGTCAACTCTTAAAGCTGCAAAGATGTTAAAGATAAAAAAAATATCGTTAAACACTCGCGTGTAAACTGTAAATCATAATGAGAAACGGCGCTTTATCAGCGACTATCAAACGAAAGGATCTAATAAAAGAATGGCGAACAACCGGCGACCTCCCGATTGCTCCCAACTGCGGATCTAGTGGCTTGTTACTTCACACCGTTGTCAAAGAGTTGGGTCGTTCGTCTAGCGATCGAGATGATAGATAAGTGCGTTCTCACCTCCCCGTGGTCGCAGGCGCAGTCGCCGCGTCGCGAAAGGGTTCGCCGAATAATTGCAACAATCAATTTGAAGGAGCTATCGAGCAATTTGTATGGTATTTGTGCGGGCTGTCACCCGCTGATGCTATCGACGCGCCTCGGGGAGCCAATGGGAAATGTTTTTAGTAGTTACTTTCTCACACCTCAAGTACCTAATTAAAATGGCTAGGAAGACCTTAGGGTGAACTTAAGTGCTTGTCGTTGTGTTACAAGTTAGAGGCAATATTTGAGCGTTTTGTGAAATAAGTTATGGACTACGCAATTTCAACATTTCCACGAATTCCCACTGATTTCTGTAAAAGCATTAATATCGAGAATAAATTGTCAATCAACATAATAGATACCGATCACATCAGGTGCACTATTAGAAGTGGCCCACAAACTTGCCACTTACCAAGAACTCCATCAGCGAACATAACTCACCTCGGAATCCATAATAAGACATAAACATCAGGTCGTTGCAATATGTCACCGCGTAACAAAGCGTTGCGGTAACGGTCCGCATCATTTGTCTGCCGTAACCCTGTTATTTATGATTCCTGCCGAAGAAGGAGGACAAAAACGCGACTGCTGTTAAATATTTGCCCTGAGACAAGAGGGGGCGATAATTCGAGGCTATTATGACGTCATTTCACGCCCTTTGTGAGGTCGTCACGGCGTGTCATCTGCTCCTCGAGACGCCTGCCTCGACTATCTCTCGATTAAATCTATTGTGTCATTTTTTCAGTGAGTGCAAGTCGGATGCGCCACCGACGATGATTTCGTCCCGTTCGCTTGTTCGCTCGACTTCGCTATAAAAACACTTGAGGAGCTGCCCTATTGTCTCGTGGCCCTTTTACGAGCTCCGTTTTGTGACGCTGTTATTGTTTGCGGTTGATAAACATCTCGCCACTAGGTAGGTAGGGATCATCGTCACTTTTACCGGTGGTTTACATTAATACAGCTCCATCAGGTTTGTTTGTCAATTATTCTTGTACTCAATGCATGTTTGGGACGTCATTTTTTAGGATGGACTTAATGAATACGGAGCTGTTGGCATTTACGAAGGATTTGCCGTTGAATGCAGAGTCTGTATTCAAACAAGATTCGAAGCTTGCCGCTGCTATTGATAAACTCTGTAGTAATCAAAAGAAATTAATGGGCGCAGTTGAAATATTGTCGCTTCCTGAACGAAAATTAGATTTTGGCGAAGTTCAGGAGCTTTTAAAAGGTTCAAAAGTCGAAAAAGGTAATCAGTGAAAACAAGTAAATGTTTTGCTATCTCACCAAGCATATTGCAAGCTAATACATATTTCCAGGTGCTCACAAACCTCCACATGTTCATTTGAAGGAGACAAATGACGAAAGAAGGTTGCTTATAAAAAAAGTAGAACAAATATTGGATGACATTAATAAACGAGCGGAAAGTGGAGATACACCGAAACTTGTGATACGGAATCAGAAACTGTGGAGCAATTGTGTTTATGATTTAGACAGGTGAGAAAACAGGACTTTATATTGTAGTTAATAGTTATAGGTAGATAATTATTATCTTACGTGTTTAATTGATACCTAGAGTGTACCTGCATACTGTATGTTAATTACTAAATTCATATAATAGAGGTATGTTAATATCTTAGGTTAACCAGATGCGTGTTTTCCGTAATTTAAAATTATCAAATTGCAGAGACAGATGATTTAAGTTATTAGTTTATGATTTCTTTACAAAACTGTTGCCAAGGTAATTCTGAAACGTGATCACAAATGAGGTTACCAAATTCATTTATTACTTATTTTTAATCCCTTACATTTTCACGTTAATTTCATAATACCTATTAGGTACAACTACTATTGCACATCACTGCATCACCCCATTGTTCACTGTTAGAGAATACCACCCGGCATTAATCGAATAGCACCCATCGTATATTATATACAGAAGTGTAAATAAATAAATAAACAATTGATTAAACTTATTTATATTGTCAGTGAACATTAATCCTATTGTAAAGCACTATGTCCAAATACTCAAGTTTAAGTCGCGCTTAAATATGGTTCTGTCACTACAAATTCTTTTTTAAATGACAGAGATGGCACGATATTTAAGTACAACTTAAAATTGATTAGACTTTCAGTATTCGGGCGTAAAATAATCATTGCCATTTTCAGAGTGACGCTAAAAGCGTTTAACGATGCGAAGAAAACCACACTTTGCTATGCCAGTGGCAATGATAAAACAAGATTCAACATTATTGTATTTGTGTTAACAAAGGTTCATGAATTACTTTCGAAGAACCTGACTGTCACTAGACGGTAAGTCTTTACAGCACCTTTATTAAAAGTAGCCGCCTATTAATATCTGTGTTTTTTCAATAGATTTTCAACTTTAACCTTCTTGTAATAAAGTTATTATTTAAGGGTAGGCTGATGTATTGATGTCAGCTTTTAAGGAACTGCTTTAGCTGTATGCCCTTTTTGTTTGGTACGTAATACTTCCTTGGCAATAGGTAATGTTTTCAAAGGCAAAGGATCAGTAAGCTGAAGTGGCAGTGGGCCGGTCACATATGTCTAAGAACCGATAACCATTGAGGTAAACGTGTTCTGAAGTGGAGACCGCGTCTAAGCATACGTATTGTAGGGCGTCCTCCAGCTAGGTGGGGTGACAATATCCACAAGGTGGCTGGCAGTGGTTGGATGAGAAGCGCTAAAGACTGAGATCAGTGGCGTGCCATTGTAGAGGCCTATGTCCAGCAGTGGACGAACACGGGCTGATAATGATAAATGTATGTTTGCCTCTTTCGAGTATAATTAAATGTATTCTTAGTGCTTTAATAGATTACCGGATTAGATATTCACACGAGCTACCATACCCTACGGTCATGATGAAATATACTTTCTTTAACTTTCATATTTACAATTCAAGCGCTTTCATTAGGAACAGAGCAACAGTCGAATATTTTCGTATTTATTCTACAGAGAGCTATTCTACCAAAATGTAATGAGGCTTCGTAACCAGTGTAACTTGGACTTAGCAGTGAGAGACGTGTGCTGCTTATTGGAGACTCCTCCATGGACCCTGGGTATAGTGGCTACGGCCAAAGGTCTGATCGCTGGACCCCTCACCCTGCATCTTAGAGACGGCAACGTTGTTGATTGTATGGCGCCTGGAGGTGAGCAAATCTTAAACCTAATTTTCGTATTAAAGGCATTTTCACTATTTATTACGCGGAACTCATCCTAATTGGCTTTTCAGGCAGTTAATGAGGCCTTATTATGTTTACTTTTAATAATTATGTTATTTCTGTTAACCGTCTCACGAAGCCATGGCCGATCGTGATTAATAATGATAAAAATAATAAAATATTAACATTTATATTATAACTTTCGTGACACATACTGAATTAATTATCATGTAAGTCGAAAAACATAATAATTAAAATAACAATGGTGTTATCAATTTCAATTTGGGGTATATGTATTTAGAGTCTAAACTCATAAATATTTTATTTTAATCTAGTTCTAAAGCTAAGTACACTATTTTAAGAACATTCAATTGGATATATCTATCTTCTGTTTATGTTTACCTCCATAGGCGTACTAATACCACAAGATATCGTCGGGATCAAAGAGTTCCAATCTACAGCCAAATACATCCTGGTGGTGGAAAAAGATGCCATCTTTCAAAAACTCTTGGATGAAGGAGCCTTACTTCGACTGGGTCCAGTCATCATCATAACGGTTAGTTGATGGCTCATTTTTTCTGTATCTTTTCATATTTCCAACAAGATGTCCAATATCACGATTGACTGGTTGGAACTGTTGGAGGCGATTTATCTTTGTGATTTGAAATCGTTGCGGGCTACCCCTCAAAAAAAAAAGAATTAATTAACCGACTTTAAAAAAGAGGAGGTTGAGGTCGATTTTTTAAACGTACTTTACATAGAAAAACATTATTAATACGTTTTATTTTCATTAATATTATACTGGTAATAAACATTCTTAGTACTATTAACGTTCTAAATCAAGTTTAGCTTTTATTATAAAAAAAGACCGACCCATTAAACACATTAGTATTCAATGTATGAAACACCTATTTTATCTTCTACACCTTAATTATTGAACACGGAGTTAATACATTCAGAATCTACAAGTCATGGTATATTTATTTAACGAGCAAACTAGATAGTGTAGCCCTAGGCAGATCCAATGATTTGCAGGTAATCTTACAATTATACCTTAGTGTCAAACTAGATTGATAATAATGCCAGCTGATGGTCGTAGCTAGTATTTTTATTATGTTTTAACTTGAGATTAAAATGGTCTAGTTTGTGTAATGGTTGTTAGTGCAACTGCTATGAAATGTGGGTTTCCCCAGTTGGCAAATTTATTGTGTGATTCATTTATGAGTGCAGGTGGGTAAAAGTTATAGTTACGCCGAGGTCTAATAGCTCAATTGCTTAAATATGGCAAAGCATAAAACAACATCACGCCTTTTATCCTCGAAGGGGTAGGTAGAGGTGCACATTACGGCACTCAATGCCACTGTCCAATGTAACACCCACTTATTATTATGTATGCAATGAGTCCCATGTAATAGGGGGTGAGCCTATTGCCATATACCGGGCACAATTCCAGTCTCCGTGCTACTACTAAGTTTTCTTATAGAACCAGTTATACTTTGCCCGACCCGGGACTCAAAAAACACTAGCCCTCCTGCCTGATATTCGCACTTGCGACCACTCAGCCATTGAGGCACCGGGAACAATTCCAGGCTTCAGTAGTAACTAAGAATTTTGTAAAAAGCTCATCTTACTTTAGTTTACTTAGCCCAACCTGGGAATCGAACCCGAGCCGCGGAACGCGACGCGCCGTATGCTCGGGTCTGTTTCTGGTCGGACGGGGAGCCACCCATGCATCTACCCTATTGTCACCATCCCTACTCTCTTTGCTGGTATCGTAAAACCCACTTAGGGGTTACAAGCAGAGATCAGAGGCTTAGGCTTAGTACGAGTTTGTTTTACGTCTTGACCGCTTTCGGCACTGATTGGTTGGTTCATTGAAGCCGGCCAATCAGAGCGTCGTAAACGTTTCGCTTACTTTAAACGTAAATTAAACTCATACCTACTAAGGCCTCAAACAGCAGTGCTCTGTGATAACCTGGGCCTTTTAACCTGTGATTTCTAACCAACCTTGTCTAGCGTAAGTATGACAAACCCTCTTAAATATATAGAGGAGGCCAATCGCCCGCAGTCCAGCGTGGACTTCCACAGGTCACTATTCAATTATTGGTTTACAGGGAAAAGGTTACCCCGATGTTTGTACGCGACAGTTGCTAAACCGCTTGTGCTCTGAGTTGAGGCTCCGTGCGCTTGCGTTGGTCGACGCAGATCCACACGGATATGAAATATTCCTCACTTATAAATATGGGTCATTGGTAAGTGTTTAGTATAGTATTTAAAAGGTTCTGTCTTTTGTCAGTTTTGTTATAGGATAGGGTTTGGTTCATATCTGACGAACAATGCTTCGAATGTATTATGTGCTGGACGCTCGATGCGCTACCGCATTATCGATTGAGTGTAAAAATTATATCTTATGTAGGATGTAAGCGGAACGCTTCCGAAAACGCCGACAGGTGATGGTTAAAAAACAAATTTTATTTTTATTAAGTAAGGAATTTAATGTTTCTTTTATACAACATAACATAACATCACGCCTTTTATCCCCGAAAGGGTAGGCAGAGGTGCACCTCAAAGTGGGTGTTACTTCTGTGTGCACACAGAAGTAACACCCACTTTTCACTATTTATGTTAATAGTCCCATGTAATAGGGGGTGAGCCTATTGCCATATACCGGGCACGATTCCAGACTCCATGCTACTACTGAGATTTGCCCGACCCGGGAATTAAACCCGAGACACCTTGCCCGACAGTCACACTTGCGACCACTCGGCCAACGCTCAAGGCTAATGTTACAGAAATAATACGAAAACAAAAACAAAACCAAGTTCCGATCACTAACCCACCTCCCAAACGAAGTTAAAATCTACTAACAATATAACACAGAATTTCTTGCAGTCACAATATGATCTACAAAGACACAATTTGTTAATTCACAGAGCCAGTCCCACCTCTCGTCATCATTAGCTTGCAGTTCCCTGGTGATGTTGGGAGCTCGTCACAGTGACGTCATGACCCTGGCTCCTACTGAAGCAAGGCTGCCACTCACTGAACTGGACAAGAGGAAAATTGAGAATCTACTCAAGAGACCGTATTTGAATAATAGTCAAGTTGGTATGTTTTTTAAAAAAAACATAATATGACTATTTTTTTTAATAATTATTTGATATTTAGGACAAAAGATGGCATCAGTGGCGTAACTATACTGTTCGAGGCAAATGGCAAATTCATCGGAGGAACCCCCTTTTGCCTATTAAAACAGAGAAGTTCAGGTATGAACTTATGGAAGCTCCTTCCAGTTGGGGAAATTTAGCCGAGTTATTACCATGTAGTAACGCCACTGGATCGCATATAGTTGAACAGCAGCTGTAGCCAAATGCTATTTAGCGCTTGTCTGCATGTAGAATAGAAAACCAAATTATAAGGAATTGACGTAAATATTGACGCTTGTCAGCCCCATACATTTAGTTTTATACTCTCTCTGTAGACAAGCGCTAAAGTGGCATTTGGCTAAAGCACTGTTTATCTGGTTAAAAACGCTAATCTCAACAACTACTTACTAATCAATGGTACGGTTATTTCGTTTTAACGGTTTCAGTTACTAAAAGTTTATTTTAATTACCTATTAATTAAATTTCGTAACTAATAAAATATCACCTTAATAAAAAAAAAACTTATAACATTTGTTAGAGCTTTAATTAAAAGTTTAAAAGAAACCGTAATATATATATTTAATGCAAGTTAACTAGTGTACATATTATACATTCAAGTTATCTTAAAAAAGAGCATAAAATATTTCCCCAACTAAGCGTTTAATTTCAGGAGCTTGTATCAAAGAAGAGTTGACAGTAATGCTATCTAGCGGCACGAAGGCGGAGATAGAAGCTTTAGCGCCCACCGCGGCCGCCCTCTGTGACGCGTACTTACCTGCTAAGATCATACAGGGCATTTACTTAGGATAATGAATAAATATACGAGTCAAATAATATGTAGGTAGACGATTTTGTATTTAATTTGAATGAGGTGATAATTAATTAGAGATATCGTTACGAACTAAACTGGTTGAAATGGTTATTGTTTCTACGTCTTCTACGTTAATGAAAAATAATTCTACGTTAATGAAAAATAGATACATCTAATGTATCTATTTTGTTCTAAAAAAATTCAAGCGTCTACGTAGATTGTATGATTTACCAAACTGTGCTACGAATCTGCTACGAGAGTGCTACGGCGTTTAACGTTCATTATTTTATTATTTAGCTACATTTTATATCTGTTCTAGTTTTAAGATTCATTGTGAAAAAATAAACGCCCTGTACTTTAATATTCTTTATTTTGCCACTATACATGAAAAGATGATGAAATGAATCGTAAGTACTCTAGATTTCTTTAAATATTTTCAGTATTCTTTATAAAATTACTTCATCTATTAATTACTTTTACTGTAGTCGTAGCTTGGTTCAAAATGTTTTATTGCTGATAACACATATTGTAATGAAAACTAATTTAGGAACTCGTTTTTTTTTCTCAATAAAAGTGTTGTGGACTCGTGGTGCCATCTATCGTACGTGAATAAATATCGTAGTGTTGTATGTTGATATTAGAGTTTATACATGAGGGGTCGCATGATAAGGGACTGCAAACGTAGTGTGAAGTTTTATACGTAGATGGCGTTACAATGTAATTATACAGTGCCATCTAGTGGGTAAGTAATAAATTATTAAAAATAGTACTAAAGACTCTTTCGTTTAAAAGTTTATTTTATCTATTATCCCATAAATTTATTGCAATCTTTGGTACTTGTCACTTTTTGGCATTGTCGACAAGAAAACCAATCTTCAATGCGTGAAAAATGTGATAATGATTTAATTGTACAAATTGACAAGTTCTACACAAATCACCATAATAATTATCAAGATAAAATGCAACGCCATATCTAAATCACTGCCATGGAAAATAATGGCGAACAACCTTACGATAAGAAGTTTGTCAATAAAGCAAGATCTTGCAATAACACACCGCTTATGAAGCTCAAAAGCGAACCGGCGAAACGGAAGTCTTTTAACGTGAACGAAGCTGTAAGATCTTTAGACTTGGCGTTGGGTAGACTGAAGAAGAGCAAGCTGGTGAACGGAGAGTACGCGTCGAGCCGCGGACTGAACCCCGCGGCGCAGGGCGCGTCCGACATGTTCATGGACATGTGCTCCAGCTCCACGTTCCGGCCCGGCACGGAGAACGCTTCACTTATGTCCATGAACTTCTCGCACTACGAGCTGATGCGCAACGTGTCGCGCTCCAACTGCAACTCGGACGGAGCGTTCAGCGGCACGACGTGCAGCGCGCGACTCAGCGCCGCCGACGTCGACGTCAAGGACGAGCACCTCGAGCGATACTTCCGCTCCGTCGAGATGTGGTCCCGCAACTACCGCGACCCGCCCAGCAGTATGCACTTAGACTTACCAGATAAGTAGTACCTAACTGTTTATTGTCACATTTCTATAATTAACGCCATAAATAAAACTGCAATATGAACGATTATGTAAATTTCAAAATTTTATTTATTCAAAGAAACTTTACAATAATAACAGAATAATCTCAGAATTTTTACAAATCAAACGTACCAATCTATACAACACTGTAACTCTTAAACGAGACGATAAGATTTATAACACTGATTAACAATAACGTAGATTTTTAGATGATTTCTAGGGCCATCAAACGGCGCGGTACTGAATACAACATCTCATATATGCCACGCTCGTTACTGGACTGGCTTGTTTTATAAACTACTGATCTCTTAGATCTCACACGTTTGGTAATTAACAGGCTACACTTCTGTCAGTATATTAGTGTTGTATTCAATATCGTTCGTCTTCAATCTAACCGCTAAGGGAGCAATCCGCGGCACTCTAAAGATACAAGGCGGACACTACGCTGCATCCCAACTGCACTCCACCCACACGCAGTACTGTGTACTTTATATTATTCACTTTGCTTTATTGCTTAGCTAAATTGACAAATGTTAACTTCGCTACCACCTAAACATCGAGCATTTCGAATGTTTCTGCTGCTTCATCGTTCATAGTCACTTAAATCATAATTGTTAACCAACCTATACATTTAAATATACATAATTATGTAATCTGTAAGTGGAGTGCAGTGTAGCGTTTAATGCAGGGATCCTAAGAACACAGCATTACTGATTCACATTTATACCACATCCATTGAATCTGGATAAACTAGGACGAAAATCTAAATTTTATATAGAGATTTTATCGAAGGACATTTTAGAAGTAAACGAAATTAACAATTACGTAGCTGATCAGAGTTGGAAAAGTGAAATAATTGACATAGTCATCACATAGTTCCTACTTTCCTGCATCAAGAATAAGACAAGGTACAGAAGCTTTCGCTGTACTGGAAGACTAAGGACTAGATACTGGAAAGGAGTGAAAGTTAGGAGTGAAGCGGCGTGCAAACGATTAGATCCATCATTGTGCTAAAATTTCGTAACAACCCGGTAAGTTTGTCGTTTCTTTATATAAATACTATAATATGAATTTAATTGGTGTTATCCGCTGAATATCTCATAATCCAAATGATGAGAAATGGGAAGTATTCTTACATAACGCGGGCGGCCCGGTCGGGCCCGCCTCGCAGTGTATACCTAGAGAACATTCGCTAATGAAATCAATACGTACAACATGATGTAAAATTTAAAGCACCCGGTTTCCGAACTCTCTCGTATTTTATCTAACTATAAAATCTCATGTGTGTGACGTACACGTAGCCCGTATTATATTGTCTATGTTTTGTTTCATAACTGGAGAACAAAGCAATATTGTTTATTTTATAATGGAAGAATTTTTCAAAATATCTAAATTAACATTAACCTTATGATAATTATTTTTAGTAATTACAACGAATTCGATTTCACTAGGCCCTACGCAATGTCAGATGGAGACATTATTTTAATTATTATTTAATAAAATTTAATCCTTTATCGTTACATACAATTATGCAATAGAAGAATCACAGCATCCTTAAGACCATAACGGCAATTGAAATTAATCTCATCGACGTATCGTAGGTATTTAATTAGTACAATGATTGTAAAATTTAGACCAAATTGGCAGTCTTCACAAACATGGAATGTACGATATGCGTCTATGCAGGTATCCGATAACACTTAACAATATCGGCAAACGTTTATTATCTCTATACAACAACAATGAATTATCTAGTTATGTCACAGTTACCGAAATCAACAACAACGTGTCGACGCGGCCCCCCCCGCCGACACGCGAGTCGCGTCGCTCGCATCGCTCGCGTCAGTCGCGCGAGGGCGGCGCGGTCACACCGCTACCTTCCACTGTCCTCTATGTACATACATAGACATCACAACTTCAAACAACTTGATTCAAACTCAGAGACTGCATTACTGAAATATCTATCAGAAAGGCAAATTTTCTAGCTCAATTTATCGACTATTTTGTACAAGCTTAATACTCAAATGTTTTGTTTTGAGTGGCACAGTGACGTGATATCCACTGACTACGAAGTATCGGGCGCGAGTAGCTGGCTGGGGCCTGCGAGTCACGCGGCTGGTACAGGCCCTCTCTGCCTGCACTCCTATCGACTAGGAAGATTAGGAAATGATGATGTGATGGAGCCAAAGCAGCTAAGGTAAGGGGATGATCAAGGTCACTTCATTTCTAAATATTATAAGTCACTATAAAACGCGTTTCGTTCTATCAAATAACATATTATTATGATTAGAATTATTCTATGTACATCGTCATATGAGGTATTTTCAACAGCGCTATAATTTTATAAAACATAACATTTCAAACATCTGTAACATAAACGTTTACTTCAAAAGGCCTAGTAAATTTTTCCCTAAATGATAAGCTCCTCATTTTTCGTAGTTCAAAAGTGTTTAACAACAATCATCGAAGTATCATTACAAAACTAATAAATATGTTTGACGACAATTAAAATAATTGAGTTTGTATTCCTGTCAGTCAGCTTTGATTACATAAATGTTCAATTTGTTATATCTGTGTAATACAACGTTATGTACAGTACAAGTGGACACTTCTATACGAATAGATAAAATAGAAAAGCTTGATAGTAAAGGCGCAGTAGAAAATAGTAGTAAAAGCCTAATAGAACAAGCTCGGGTTGTAGTCGTCACGACGATCTGTGGTGCCTCGCGCGTCTCTTGTCGAGACGTCGTCTGCTTACGAAATGGTTGATATCTTACGACTTGTTGTCTACAATTTATTCCCTATCTAGGCTCTTAGGAGCTAGCAAAAGACACAGTACGATAGTATAGCCGAATGGTGCTGAAGCTGAATCATGGATTCGATGAGGAAATATTGAATTCGAAGAATTTATCTTAAGTACTTTCGTAGTCCGTCGTCTGGTTTCTATCTATTATAAAATCAACCTAATTATTTCACTAATACTAGTGTTTTTAGTAATTCAATTCATGCAACTTTATTCATCATAACAAATTTCATAAGTACCTAATACTAATCACAAGAGGTTTCGCACTGACACGCGACGAGGTGGTCGGTGAGCCGACAGAGGCCGTCGAGCCGTGGGGAACACATTTGATTAAAGCACTATGTCTCATGTACATATTTACAGTATTACGATAACAATAGGATAGTGAGGTCTATCTGTCGGGCGGCGGCAGCTTGGTGTCCTCGGGGTCGAGGGAGAGGCACTCGCGGAGGTAGTCCTCCATGGACCGGTACACGTGCTCAATCACGCCCTTCAGGTCGTGACCCTCGTCGGCGTACGCCTGGAACAAGGTAAGTTTTAATGATTACTATTCTTTGAAATTGAATGAATTTGTTTGATTTTTCCATAAAACTCAATTTTTTTTGTGGGAGAGCCATGTTACGTCACAAATGGGCCGGTATGACCGGAGGGATACCAAAGATAAAACTGACGATAAACGACGCTTACGCTGTGTTTTACAGTGTGAGTGCGGTCACCATAAACTCACTCACACTGTTTACACTGGTTTTTATGTGAGCCTGTGGCATCAGTTCAGTTCATCTGATGAGTCGGCCCATTGGTGCCGAAGCATGCTCTCCCACGTGAATTGTTACTTATAGGTTGGTTCAGGTTTTCATGGATATCGCTGATTATCGGGTATCGCTGATTATTACCAGCATGAGACGAATTAACAATCCCTCTCCTCTTTTTCCCCAATCACATGTTTCTGCCTGTAGATGTAGAATCTACCCAGAAATAGAACTTCATAGGATTATTCAAGTATATACCTGGTATCGGAACAGCACGCCGGCGTCGGTGAGCGCGCGCGCTAGTTGCAGCGCGTGCGGGTACGGCGCGGACACGTCGGCCAGGCCGTGCACTAAGTACAGCGCATGCGCCGGCACGTGGTGCGCGCGCTGCGACGCGTCCGCCTCCACGTAGCCCTTGTAGTTCACCGACGGCTGGCCAAGGATACGCTCCGTGAATGCTGCGTCTACAAATGCCAAGTAATTAATTAATATAGTCCATTGAAATGGTACGTAGGCTTTGCGTTTGATAGAGGACGTTATTTTATTTTTAGGACATGTATGGGTGGTTAATAGAAGCTTCATCTCAAGTTTGTGGGATCATCACTTTTGTCCCCCGTCCCCTATCATCGACCAATTTATCATGGTCTCGCTTTGTATAATCTTTCCTTAAATTTAAGGGCCACTTTATACCAGTTATTTCTTTTTGCAGAATATAAAGTAAACTCACTATAATAGAGCCAGTCGGTGATGGGCGAGACAGCGATGCCGCACTTGAGCGTGGACTGCTGGGAGCCCAGCAACATGGCCGTCACGTAGCCGCCGTACCCCCAGCCCCACACCGCCACGCGCGTCACGTCCAGGAACTTGAACGTTTCTAATAAATATCTGGAAAGAAGACATTTGTTTAATAATCAGGATTGTAATATAAACAAAACACATTATTATGTAATACAAACTTAACTATATTAATCAAAAGTAAACTGGATATTTTATCTAAAATACAAATACCTACAAACAATTTTGCAACAGTTATTGTGTTGTTTTGTTATTATAAGTGAAATGAAATTGAGCAATACTTAAACATAGACGCTGTTAGGATTACTTTCAAGGATGTGAACAAATGAAAAAAGAATGACATGTGTTTGTATAAAAAATAGGAAGGAAAACAAATTGTATATAAACAAGGATATAACCAATAATCACACTTGCTTTAAACTGTTCCAATTCATTTACGTAATTATTTATCTTGTCATAAAATTTCACATTCTAGAAATAATTAGGCACTTACCTAATAACAGCCAACTGGTCAGCGACTTCCACTCCCCCCAGCCTGCCCCGCAGCAGCGCCCGCGGTAGTCCCCGCGCGCCCGCCACGTCCAGCTTCACATACACCACGTCATTACGTGATGACATGTACGAGCCCCAGTCCACCAGGAACTCCTCCGTCACCTGCTGGCTACCCGGCCTGCCGTCTCTGCAATAACAAAAAGATATATTAGACTAGCTAGAACGAGGACGTTGGACAAAGGCGGACATAATGTCACTTTTTTTTTATTATTTGATGGGGCGACGTTTGACCACTATCTCGCCTGGTGGTAAGCGATGATGCGGCCTTCGATGGAGCACGTCGTCCCATAAGCAACCTATTCACTCGGGCCTGGAAGACTCCCAGGTATACCCTTCAGGAAATACAGACTCTGGCAAAGAATTCCACTCTTTAGCAGTACGCACAAAGAAGCTTGATATGATTGAAGCACCAAAATGTCAGTGGGTTATTTATGTGTGCGTGTCTAATGGGTTACCACGTTACCAGATTTAACAAAATGACAGGTGTCCTTTGTGTCTATGTGTATATGTTCTGTGTGTAAGTTTATCTATAGTGACCAGGTGCGATAGTCGTTATTTCAAGAGACTGTGTGACTTTTTCCAACGTCCTTGGTCAAAAATGCATTTGTCACCATCCCAATTCTTCTGGCGGGTGTCGCAAGTAAGAGTCGACTAAGCTACACATTTGACAGAGGTCGGGCTCTTAACTTTTTTAAACTGCAATTTCCAAAGCACCCATGAAACGTGGAAAGTATGTGCAAACACGCTTATGTAGAGGTATAGGAGGTCCAGCCCATACTGTAGTGGACTGTCCAGTGACAGTCATTGGTCATCAGCCAGTGCTGTTGATGATGAAACAAGGAGATCATTTTCCTCGACTTTTAAAAGTTTAAATTCCAAATATGCCTGAAAAACATGTTTTTAAGGCATATTTGGAATTTAAAGCTTTAAATGGACATGCAGAATATAACTCCGAATTGCCCAGAAGCATTTTAGCCCAATTTATTATTAAGACTTAAGTTAGCAAGGATATTTGGCAAGAACTCTTGTTAATTACAAGGCCTAATATCAGAACAACAATTTCGTGCCAAAACTACATTATATTTGCCAAGTTTAACTTGAAGATGCTGCACCCACTAAAACATGAACAATTTTGACTTATTGTGTCGCAGTCTCAGTTGGGATTAGACGGGTACTTGGCGCAATGCCTACTGAATTTGTGAGACAGTTTAGTAAATTACAGATCTCATTTAAATTGTTATACAATATAATACATGATCAGTAGTAGATATTTGCAAGCACACTAGCTTTCTTCAGGAATCGAATTAAGACTTTGACTGCCAATAAAAAACTCCGAAGGTAAATCCTCCGCTAACGCCGGTCACCGGTAACCCCCATGGCGTTTAACGTGTTAAATGTACAGTTTTCATATGGAAATGGACAGAAGTAGATATAAGAATGGGTATGGCTAAGCTATCTAATATTTAGACAAGATTAAATGGAATTTGAAGTACTTACACATGAACAAGCACGGGAAAGGCAGCATCCCTGAGCTCCTCCCTCCAAGATGGCGGCAGTAGCAGCTGCACTCTCGCCTTGGAGCCACTGCCTAATGCTACTTCGAATGACCGCCGCGTCGGCAGAGCCAACTCGCGCAGTCGTACTGATCTGGAAATTATGTCATGAAATTATTGATATATATAGTGGTGATAAATACTTGAATAGTAGAAGTAACACGTACAAAAGATACTCTCTGAGGAGAATAAAGATTGATGAGAAATTTGCAGAGTTTTCCAACATCTGCAACCGTAGCAATTAAAAGTCCAAAAGATGAAATGATAAGAGGATATCATCATCCTTAAAGTTGTTAAGGCAGATGGCGGTTGTTCTTTGTTAATCATGAGATTGAACCCAATCTAATTAGGTTTGCCAAGTTCAATTTATTTGGTTAAGGGTCAAGAGACAAAAATTTCAAAGTATGCTCACCTATAAGGCCTCGTGTCATATAATATCCTCTCTAGCTTGTGCGTGCGCGCGTCGTGCAGGCCGGCGAGCGGCGGGCCGGGGCCGGCGCACTCCAGCACGTAGTGCGTGATGCCGAGCCGCGCGCGCGCCGGGGAGAACGTGGCGTGCCACCACGAGCAGTTGGCGTAGTGCAGCCGCGCCGGCCACACCGCCAGCTCACACGTCAGGCACCGCGGCTCCTCCCGCTCCGCGCGCGCCTTCACCGAGTTACTGCCGCCGCCGTAGCTCGGGTCCCGCACCACGTACACCTGCCGCTGCCCCGGCCGGTCCGCGCTGCCTGTTCCATACAACGCACCCTCAACATCTCCACACACACTCCCCACATTATCATTATCAAACCACACACAATACCCTGAATCAAACCACCAATGAGAGGGACATGTATCAGTTAATACGAGGCCAACATGACGAGGACTGTGGTTAGTGAACTGACCTAGTTGACAAAAGAACACTCAACTGCACTCAATCTAAATACTTAATTTGATTTGCTTCCTTCACCAAATCTGGATGCAGTCTATGAATGGCTATCGTTTCTTTGTCTAAACCTTTAAATAAATAGAAATTAAAGTTCAAAAAGTGTTTTAAGTAAAGGTTAATAATGTAAGAAATGTAATTACCTAAATAATAAACTAAGTGGTTTTCCTGGTCCCATGCCAGGATCTCGGCGACCTCGACCTTCCCGTGCGAGAGGACAGCCATGCGTTGTCTCAGTACGTCGACATGCTTGATGTGTGTGTAGTACTGTCCTCCTCCCTCCTGCACGGCCGCGAGGAGGAGGAACGCACTGCCGTCCTCCGAGTACACAGGCTGCTGGTGCACCTCTAACCAAGGCTCCTCTGTTGCTTTTTCTGAGTGCGTCTAAAAAGAACAAAAACATTACACACTATCTCAAAAGTCTTTGCTGGTTAAAGAATTTGTAAAAGTATTACCTCAGTGCAAGTCCAGTTAGGAGCATAACAACTGCTATAAACTGTAAGGTTTTGCGCTCGATTCATCCACACTACACCTACATGAGAATTGTCTTTGCCCACCCACTGGGCTGATATGAGATAATATTCCCTGAAACATGAACAATCATGAGTAAACCAGCCAAACTGAGGGCAATATTATTGTTAATTTAGAAGTAAGTACTTACATTCCATCTAAAGTACTTGGAGGCCTCACTTCCCATCGTGGCGGTGAGGTCGCGTTTTGAACACTTACTATCCATAACTTTACCTTTGGTATCGCACTGCCAGGCTGTGAACAAGAACAATTTCATTATTACACTAATAAGTTCCGTTACTGCTACTGAAAGGATCAGCATTCAAAAAGATGCCTTTACAGAAAATGTGTAGCAAAATAGCAAACCTTCCTATGACCTTGAAATTAATGTAGGTTCAAAAAGAAGTTCGTACATGCAGACCTGAATCATGTGCAAACATAGAAATGCCAAGAAGAGAGCATTGGTACATACCGTGGGATATCTGACAGTGACTTGGTCGGGGAAGACAGTGTGTGCGGAGGCGTTGTTGGTGGGCATCTGCAGGAAGCCGGCCCGGGCCGCGCCGGCGCCGGCCAGGCTGTCGGCGATGCGCGGCAGCCGCAGCTCCGACACGGCGCGGTCGTCGTACTGCACGTATAGCACCAACGTACCATCCGACGAACCCCACGTCGCTGATGCCGTTTTCGTCACCTCCTCTGTACCATAGATTGTGTGACATTTATAAAACGGAGAATGGTGCTGTGGTTTTAAAGAATATGATTACTAGCACACAGTAAGAAATGGGTTGTTTTTTTATGGGATAATGGGTTGTAAATGATTTTCAGTACATAGCAATTAACGATAAAATACCAAGTAAGATAGTATTCTGGATAAACCTAATCATAAGTCCACACTGACCTTGATAAAGAAAGTCGGAGACGCCATTGTAAACAGCGCCGGGGGAGGCGTCCGTAGTGAGGCGCAGTAGTGGGGCACGGCGGGCGGGGGGCCCGGGCCGCGCCAGCACCTCGTTGTCGGCCGCCAGCAGCAGGGACCCGTCGCCGCCCAGCCAGGCCGCGTGCTGCCACTCCCAACTGCGTTGGCCCTCGCCAAACAGCGGGATGTGGTGGCTGCAAAAATTGTAAATTATCGTCAGCCAGTTCATAATCAACTGCTGATTATTATTAGGCCTCGCTAATAGCCGTTCACATCCAACCAAACTGCCAGTCACTTTGAGGAGATGGTGACACCAGTTAACTGAAAGGCCCAATTCTAAGATTGCCCAGACGTGATCTTCATTACAAAACACGTCTATACCAACGGTTAAACCTATAAAGGTTCTTACACAAATGTGACTGCCACTATTACAATATTACTTGCCCTTACATACTTAGTTCCTAAGGTTGTCTATGGCAGTTTTTTTGTCAGGAATCAAGAAATATACGTCTGCATCGAATAAAATGTTCACGTACATGTGTGAACATTTTACCACAGCCCCTGCTTTTCAAAAACGTTGTTAACGAAACTTTAACACTCCACTAAGCTACTAATAGTCATTTCAACTACTTACGTACAATTTTATAATTACAATAATGACCCTTCCGACACTACTATCACTTTATCTAGAAAGTAGAAGGTACCTTCTAACCTGATAAAGTGGTCTGATTGCCGCCGCATTTTCTACGCGAACTAATTAATCCGTTCGGGCTGCCAGCTCTCCTACGATAGCTACTTACAATTTACGCTGGAATTCACAAGTATTTGACGGGATTAATTCGTCTACAAACGGTCAAATTGTTTGCGCGTGAAAGTGGTATTTAATTAAACAATCACTGCATATTTTTTTATATTATGACGCTTTTTATTTCACTATTATAACTTAAGTGACAAATAGAAAATGTTTAAGGTCTCAAAGTGTTTACTACTCGATAAAAACTGCATTTAGAATATATTGAAGTTGATTAATCAATAAACCTTCTTCTAAGTGTAACAAACACTTTTCTGGAAACGGCATCAAAATCGGTTTAGCCAATCCCAAGATAATAGCATACATACAGGTCTAGTTAGCTATCCTCCATTTTTTGAAGTCAATGACTAAGGACGATGATATTTAAGAATATATAGTTTGGAACCTTTGTGTAGCGGTTCGAATTCTAAAAAGAGCAGGAACACGTAACATCAGAAATGGTATCGCCAAATATAATTAAAAGAATACCATTTATGGTTTCATACAAAATCGACAACGTACAAAGTAAACGGTACGAGAAATGGTGTGAACGGCTGGCGTCGTTATTATATGAATTCAGTGCCACGCGAGATGCGGCAACAGGTGCCTCGGGGTAAAAATATAACAAACACCTAAAGGTTATTTCGTAAAGGAATAAACTTAGTTTTGTCTTGTATCTTAAAACTTCAGAGCTGCATTAGGATCTTTGATGGTCATTGGAAGCAGTGAAGTTCTCCCCCAAACCCAAATCCTACCACCCCCCACCGCATTAAAATTCCACTCGCAAATTTTGAAATAAATTGGAAATCGTATTCACGTAGCAATCGTCGAATCGATTTCTTCACTCAGGAGACGACCGGAGAAAGAAAAATTCACAAAAGAGATATGGTTTAAATGAGAAAACAAACTGGAGAGACTTTTTAATATCGGCTTTTAAAGCTAGTCGCCCGCGGATACGCTTTCAAAACTTTTTTTGAGGTAATGTCTCATGAAATATGAGTTTTAAATTGTTTTCTACAGTTACTCTCGCTTTGTAGCTATCGAGTTGAGAGACGAGATATTTCATAGACTCATTCCAATTAGAAAATAATGAGGTAAAGATAAGTTAAGTTCACTATGTTTTCTACAGTACGCACAGATGCCTACGTGTATTCTCATTGTCTCCAAATTAAATAATTCAATAACCACGAAAGAATGAGATGTTGCAAGTAGGTTACCCACATTGGAATTCCAGTCGAAACAGATGAATGTGTGAAGAGAACAAATTGAAGTCGTGCAGATATTTTATATTCTTTCAGTTCCTAGAGGAGACAGGCACGCCGAGCGCGTCCTACACATTTGTTATACTTACTAAACACGGCACCGACGCCATTTCTGCAATAACTCGATTCTACGTATAATTTCCAAGCTAATACAATGTGCTCGTCAAAATGAAGGACTGAGCGTCCTCTGATATGCCAAACAAACGCCACTCTTCGAAGGTGCGGTGGCTGAAAACCAATTTGGGACGCGAAATTTAATTTTCAGTCGGAAATTTAATTACGGAAACTTCGGGGTGACTTTAACTGAGACCTTTAGGACGCTCAAGCATCAAATATCAAAAGCTACTCACTCATTTGTGACGTCATAAACGGTGTAGTGCGCAGTAAACGTCCGTCGGTAAACCTGCGAAATAATAAAATGTTAAATAACAATGTACGAGTGAGATGCCGACTGCGTAATGACCGGCTTGTTTGTGTTGTAGCAGAAAAACTATTAAAAGCTTTTTAATGTTGTGTTGCTACGTACCTCCTTGATATTGTGTTGGAAGAGCACGTAACGCAAGTTCGGGGAGCACTGGTAGCCTCGCACATTTAGCTGCCTCTGTGATCAAATTGTGAACATCGTAAGTTAAATTAGGTAGCTTTGAAGCAACAAAAATGTGTTAAAGGTATTAATTAAATGTTTTTAAGTAAGACAAAAGTGGGACTTCGGTCTGTGTAAACCTCTCAGGGTTGTAAATATACTTTGCGGACAAGGCGTGAGGTGGCACGGCCATAGTGCGGTCCGAGCGAAGCTTTTAGAGACCAGACGTTGATGTAATAATAGAGCGTGCCGACCGCGCACCGACTCCATAACTACACCGCACGAGCAAAGGTCGTGAGAAAACACTGCTAAACTGATAAATTCACATTTTACTTCTTTTTACTTCAGTAATACTCGTAAATGTCTTCATTCCTCCATAATGCGAAATATCCTCTTTAAAGTCGGCGGCATAGTCAAATTTTCATTCCCTGAAGCCCGCTACCCGCAGCATAATAACGCCATTATGGAGAATCGGGGATGTCGCCATAAATTTTATAGTAAAGAGCATCGAAGTAATACCGTCCGCACTTACAAAACTGGGATACTAACATGAGTGCAGGGGTAAAACGGTTCGTTTTTATGTTTCTCAAAGTCAAAAGGATTATTAAGTTGTACCTAATGTGTGGAGGAATTAAGTAACACAAGATGTATACATTATTATATCATGAGAGTTGAACATCGATAAGAAGATACTGTACTCACTAGTGTGTGATTGGTGACTAGAACAGTGAGTGTATTGTTGAAGGTGTCGAGTGCCAGCAGGCCACCGTCGTCTGCTTGGTACACGAGCTGGTGCGAGCTCACCCACGTGGTCGGCAGTCGCTCGCCCGTCAGGTCCCCGTGCAGAAACTCGTCCAAGCGCATACGACGACCCGACCAGTACAATAACTCGTCCACATACCTGTTTCACATTAATTTACACATTTTAATCTCCCAACATGGCTCCGACTTTCTCAGCTTTTCAAGCGACAAAGGTAGAATTAACTTTGTTCTCAACCAAACTTATCAAAGTTTGCATCGCCAACTTGTTCGTACTTTAGTCATTCATTAAAGAGTTATCAAAGTGTTTTTTAATAACCAAGTTAAAGTGGAGCAAGAACAATAGACTCACCCTAATAGATAGATAGCTGTGACAATACCGGCTATGACAAAACTGATGACCATCAAAGAAAATATGATGCTCCGCCAGTTGTGGCCATCTCCTTGGTATAAGTCCTGGAAAATATTTGTTCCGTTAGAGAATTGTCGAAAGGGAGGCGGAGGTGTGGCAAAGTAAAATGACATCGTCAACAATCTCGAGACCCGCTAAAAATAGACGAAGAACTCGGGATTTGATTTATGGCGCCGGAAGGTGTCGGGTTCAATGACGCGATATTACAACGATTCCGCCGACAAAGGCTATATAACTTCGATTGCTCTTTTTGGCGGAACATTGAATATTGTTTCGAAGAATCTTGAATTTTAAATCCGTTTGATTTATTTCCATTCGCACGGAACCAATAAATTGTTCATCTGAATAGTAATAAAGATGCTTCGCTGTTAAGGCGTCCTGAATTTTATCTCTTTTGTTTATTCCATGTACGGCTTTATTTAATAACTGTAGATTTATAAAAAACGATTAGGTAAATAGGGACATTCAATTTAAAAAATCTATTGATTTTAGCTAGTGAACGTTTTCTCACCTCCTCCTTGGCGGACTTGGGGTCGGCGACTTGTAGGGTCTCGTCGGGCGGGAGGCGCCAGGAGCCACCGCCGCCGCCGCCGCCCGAGCGGTCCGTGTGGCCGGTGGCGTGCATGCGCCGGCGCCGACGCGCGCGCACCCGCCACCGCGCCGCGCTACGCTGCCGCGCCCGCCGCGCTCTCCGGCCTGCGAGTGCGCGCGCCGCCTGCCGCTCCGCTGCGCCGCGTGCGCGGGACCGGCTCCATCACTATCAACAAAGTTCCTAATATTATTCTCCTGTATTCAAAACCCATATTTGTTCTTTAAAAGAAATCCTCATTTTATAACAACAGCAATAAATTCTCTGTTATCTTTAAAACAATAGTAGCCGTGCGAAATCGGACCGAATGTTGTGGTTTCACTTGGCAAGTTGAAATAAAAGAAGCATTTACTAGCGTAACTGCTCTTGTTTAAGCTGCATTTTCAATTTTATGCAGTGAAAAGGAACAAAACAAGACCGCAATGCGTGCAGTCCGGTCGCTTCATAGGACCACTGTAGCGACGACTCGACCGCAGGCAATGTGCTTCCGCTTGAAAAATTGCTACGAAGCCAACATCCACATTGTACACAACACCACGACTCCCGACTCCTATACTAACTTTTTCAAACTATTTTGTTAAATACGACAGCTTCGTACTGTTTTTTGTATGCTTTTAGTGCACTGTTCCAATTTATAATTCGCGAAAGTGTTCTAATAACGCCCATATTTTGAGCAGTAGTTTTAATACGATGTTTTCAAGTGCTGGGCAATAGATAATTTTGTTAATTGTTTTTGTTGACGTGGCCTGTCAATACGCGGCGGTGCTCCAACACCCCGCCATGTTGGAGCGCCGCCAACTCTCGCGCACACTCGCACTGTGTACATTCGCTCCGCGCCAACTTTACGACTTCGTTTAACTATTATTTCAACTGCTCACTCGATGCGATTTTTTAGATAGATGCCGTTTTTATTACCGGGATATTCAGATCAGTCTATCATTACAGTGAACCGATTGTGCTTACCAGATAGTAAATACACCGAAAGTAAATAGCTGTAAGAATTACTGCTGCGTAAATTGCCAGCGATGCCTTATGACTTGGGCAGCATGCCCGTAGGCCGACTGGCGTCGTGCGGTCGTCCTGCACGTTTGGCACGAGTACTGCTGATATTTCTTCCTCTTTGGGATGAAGTGGAGCATAGAGCCTTAATATAAACAGGCTACGGCTGAGCTCTCTAGTTTGTTAAGCGCAATTTCAAGTTATTGATGTTACGTTTTTTACTAACAAAACTTTAAACCGTAGTCAAACTACTTAAGTCAAGTGTCTTCCGGTAAAACGAGAAGCAAGCAAAGTTTCGAGGCGAAAAGTTGTTGCAGCCGGGTCAGATTAATGACGTGCAATGGAGTCGAGACGGGGAGGGTGCTGAGAGGCCCCAATTTAGAGCATTAAACATGTTTCTTATAATTGCTTGCTAGCTTTGAAACCGTTTAAGTAAAGCCTTTATAGCCTGAACGTGGCTCAAAATACTGGAATGGACTCAGCTGCAATGCGGGTGGTCAGGAGTAGAATTAAGATAGTAGTAATAATATATGTAGCATTTTCTCCTGTCCACTGTACTAAAAAACTGTTTGCAGTTTGTGAGTATTTCCATTCCATTTTCAGTGTATGCTTTTTATTTGTGTTTTATGTATTTTATTGTATTGTATTTTGTATGGGTTGCCACTATTTGAAAAATAAAATCGAATTAACGAATGAAAAGTAAGTGTGGGAGACGGCACGAGGAGTAATACAATGGCCTCACTGAAAACCGACGTGAAGCAAAGCTAGCGTTGTGTTTCTTCGTGTGAGGTTACCGAAGGCCCAAACCGGGGAGGTTCCCCAATCTCCACAATCTCAGAATTCGCAACAATCCCCAAAAGGCCGGTAACGCACTTGTATTCCAAGTGTCCATGGGCGACGCCGATTCCTTACCATCAGGTGATCGGTCTGCTCATTTAGCGGATTATGTTATAAAAAAATAATAAAACCACTAACTAGTTTATTAGGCTAGACATTAGAGCAATTCCTAAACTTTAAAATTGCCATATAGAAATAAAATAATTGTATTGTTGCATGTCCTGCAAGGCAGCATAGCAAATAAGTTTGCAGTGGGATTACGACAAGCTTCACCTGGAATGCTGGGACGGATTTATAGCATTAATTAAGTAAGTGAGGATTTATTACGATTCCACTTCGGAATACTTCGGAGCACTTCGGAACCATTCGACAACTTTGTTGCCTCTGTAAGCACTTCTCGACGACCTCTCGTCCAGAACGATTTCGTTTAAGACCTCACGGTCACAGTGTTATGTGCTTTTATTGTTAAACTTTCTAGTAACGTACTGATATAAATTTTCGACGTTCGTTTTGTTTTCACGTTAGAAATGTTGAAGCATTCAATTCTTAATGAAAACACTGGGAATATAGAAATTGGTTAGATTATTGCGTTCGCTTAGATTATGTTGTAGTCGAACAAAAGAGGAACAACAGAATGTCATAGAAACTTCAGCAAGGTGGAGAAATTATGAAAACCAGGCACCGTTGAACAATGACGAAAATATTAACATTTTATGTTCATTAATAGCTTATAAATGCCCACTGCTGAGCAGTCTCTTCTCACACGGAGAAGGTTTGAGCATTAATCACACCGCTTGCTCAACGATTTCAAACTTATAATAGAAATTATAAGCCTAGGTTTCCTTCACCGTTTGTCAGTGGTGTCTGAATAATCTTAGAAAGTACATTTAACTCGGAAAAAATCACATTGGTACTTGCCGTTGGTAGGTTTCGAACAAGCACCCTCATGCATGAGAAGGTGCCGTCTTAAGCCTCCGGGCCACCACGACACCTCCTCAGGGCCACCACGACACCTTACACATTTTATGTAAAATATTGTTAAATCGAGGAACTTAAGAACTTTGTTAAGCGTTTCAAATACTGTGAAACAATCTAAACGGTACACTGATGATTTTATGGACTATACAACTTTATATCACAGTCAGTTTTGCTATATGATTGTCCTTTTAAAACTAGATTAGAATAGTGTCAAGGCCGGTCGTGTCCTGGCATTGAGCCAGGATCTAATTCAATTTGTACTGCCCTAGGGTCGCAGTATATTTCGCATGATATTTTTTATGATGCCATAAAAGCTATTAAACGTTGTTCTGTTAATGCGTTTCGTTTTAACGCCATGATTTTATTGTGAAAAAATGGACTAACTAGCTCATATACGAGTTTTTAATGTCTTTTGTTTTAGCTTAATTATACCTGATTTGATTTTAGTTGTTCCCTGTGTTGTGGGGCTGAACTATATACGCTATATATATATACGCATATGGCTTCCTTTTGCAAATTCATTTTGATGTTCCTTTCTTTGTTTCAGAAACAAATAACATTGGGATGATGTAAAAGCACGTTCAATAGATAAGATAATTCTGAGTATCGAATACCAGGAAGCCAATTTTTTACATTTTGATTAGGATTGCCTGCTATTTCGGGCGTTCTAATAACAAACTATTCAGTGTTATTATAGCTACGATAATCTTAGAAGATGTTGTGTTTATTCGTAAAACGTTTATTCCTGCTATTAGCATTTACGTCTCCCCTTATATACGTTTTAAGTTCCCGAATTCAATGGTCCCTGCAGCCATTCTGTGGTGGAGTTTATCCAACTGGAAATTTCGATGACTTCACGTTACGAACATTAAGAGGATTTGTAAAACCTTTTACAGCAATTATGGTCACTAATAACTTTAAATAAAAATCATTGTGATCACTCCATTAATGCTTAAGTAATCATTCATTATGTCTATTTTATTCAATCAAATGTATACTAATATTATAAAGCTGAAGAGTTTGTTTTTTTGTTTGTGTGAACGCGCTAATCTCCGAAACTACTGGTCCGATTTGAAAAGATTCTTTCTGTGTTGGATAGTCCATTTATCGAGGAAGGCTATAGGCTATAAAATATCACGATACAATTAATAGGCGTCGAGCAGAGCGAGTGAAACCGCGCGGAAGTAGCTAGTAGTTTATAAACTGTTGAAATTGAAGGGTTGTTTGGTTGGACGATATATATTCGACTCATTAAGAATTTGTAAATTGTAGTAAAGGTTTGACACATATCAATACATAAAAACGACCTCTATCAACCCTTTTACGGAAAACCAAAATCGAGTCGCGTACTCAAAAAAATTAAGTATAATATCTTAACGCTGACAGCGTATAAAGACCTCTCGAAAACTAACCGTACCGCTTACGAGGAAAATAACATGAAGAAAAAAACAATACGAGGAAGACTGCAGCAAAAAATAAATATAAAACAAATGGACAAAAGATCTTGTTCCCCCATAACTCGCGTGTTCCTCCACGGGTGTAAACAACGAGATGTGTTTTGAAAACCCCTTGAAAGGAGGGGGTCTTACAATACGCCGGGAAATCAGCGCGGGTGAAGTGGGGACACTTATGGCAGATTATGTTGTAAGAGTCTGTCGTTATACTTGAGTAAAATGGTGTGTTTTGAGTTTATTATTATACATTCAGGTCATATGTGTATTGTTTCTTTTCCATTAAACACTCGTTTTAATTCAAGTCATCGTCATCGTCAATGGTCCGTAATAGGCTATTACTGTCTATTTACTTCCTTTATTATCAATACATAGTATAAAAATCGATTTGCACGATCTTTCTGCTGCTGCAAAATCAAGCAACATTGTTTGATGGTATTTTTTTATTAATAAATAGAGTTATTCGAGACGAAGGTTTATATCCTTACTATCCTTATCCTTACTAATATTATAAACCTGAAAGTGAGTTTGTTTGTTTGTTTGTTTGTTCCACCTTCACGCCGTAACTACTCAACCGATTGCTTTGAATTTTTGCAGATGTAAAGTTAGAAGTCCGGATTAAATAATAGGGTACTTTTTAACCCGGAAAAAATTGATATTCCCGAGGAAAAACCAAAGTATTGGTATAGATGGCGCTGTGTGTATTGGTATATGTCACATAGGCTACTTTTTATTCTTTTGTGACGCGAGCGAAGCCGCGGGTAAAAGCTA